ATTGAAAAAGTATCGTCGCTCTTTGCCTTCAGATATTTACATGAGGCACTGAGTGGAGACCACAAGCTGTGCCCGCACCACCAGAGTTGCAGTGATGGAGCTGCCATATTGGTCGAGCTGGTACCTAGCACTAAGTTTTCTGGTGTCTCATCTTCATCCCAAGTGGAAACGGCCCCAGCATCTGAGGCACACACTAACAATGAGTTTAGTGTTGAAAGGATGCAAATGGTGATGGGAGGCAGTAAGCAGAGCTGTGAGGACAAGTGTCAGAATGAAGATTCGGTCCCATAGTAAATGAAAACATAAATTTTATTTTACATGGAAACACACACACATCCACCTCATAAACTTCTAAGAGTCCTGGGAAAACCCTCGGTAGCTTCCTTTGCCCTCCAGTGAGGGAGGCTAATTGAGATTCTTCTAGGGAAACCCCTTTCTTTCCTTCAGTAGCCACGGAAAGATTCATTAAGGCTTCTATTCTCCACTCTTCCCCACCCCTGACTTTGCTTAGCCCAAGCGCTAAAGCCCAGGAGTGATGCCCAAGATTCCATCATGCTTGCTCCCTTCCCCCGGGCTGTGTGGGAACAGAACCTTGCCCCCAGGCTGACAGATTCAGAGGGTAGCCATCCTGGCCTGAAGCTTGCCTTTTTACTACATGGATAATACTTGAAATAATATCTGCAGGACTTTAAGGCTGTTTTTACCTATGCTGACACGTTGTTCATCCGTGGAGGGGGGTGGATGGGAAAATTTCTCTAAAATGGCCATCCCTATTTGCCGATGACGACTTTTTTTCTGATAAAACAATCTATTGGAAACCTTCACACTATCATACTCATCTTCACTTTTAAGTATCTGTTTCAAGTGACCCCTGAAATAACAAGCCCTTTTCTCTCTCCCTCCCTGTGGTTACTTCCCCACTGTGAACCATGTTGGTGAGGAGCCGGGGCAGCTCCACCTTCTCTGGAGATGGGAGTGGGTGGGGGGGTCATGAAGGAAAAGGGCAATGCAGGACCCAAGGCAAGTGTGGCTCCTGACTTTCCCCCTTTCATTATGTGTGTCCACTGAGCTGTCCTGTTTCTGTTTGTGATGGGTTCTTCTGTGGCAAGCTGACCTTTTGGCTGAATAGGTCAAGCTCCCACTGAGCACTAATCCTCAGCCTTTCTGGCCTTTGCACCTCCCCAAAGGTGACAGCGCTGGTTAGGAATATGACTGGGGGTGCGGGGTATATCTTCCAAAGGAGGGATTGTCTTTTACTGCAGCGAATTAATTCTCAAAGTCTGCCTCACAAGGTTGTGCAGAAGAGTCTAGGTACCTTCTTCACTATGCATGAGAGTCTAGATTAGAGCATTTTTGCCAAAGTTGTTAAAGGACAAAAGTCATTTTTCACGTACATGTTTTAGATTGTGGTTTTCCTCTGTAGCTTCTACTTTTGCACTGAGAAAGGCCACGTGTACAGTCCTCGTGATTCATCCTATCATTTTAATTTTCTGAGAGAGTCAGCATTTCTTCAGTTGATGTTTAAGAACCCTTCTCCCTATATATCACTCCTATTTAAAATCTTTGAAAACTCTAGGTATTTTATTTTTAACAACTGCAAAACACGGGGATAGTGTTATGGTATTTGTTGAAAATTATGTGCTGGATCTAGGTTTATTTTGAATTGCTTAAAATTTTCATTCGGATTATTTTTTTAATTTCATAATAAAAACAGTAACCAGCCATTTTAAATATCAAATAGGTACTCAGTAAAATGCTGACTTGAGTTTGAAGTTGAGTTACTATATCATCCTGGGTTGTTTTTTTTAACAGTCTGTGGAAACTGTTCACATCTCACTATCAGTGAGTAGGGACATAATCTTCAAAGAAAAGCAATTACATGTTCCATTTATTTAGCAATGCACCACGTATTTTCATTTTTTTAAATTTAGTTAGTGTTCTTTAAATTTCAAAAAGTGTATTTTTATTGGACAAAGAAATAAATGAAATAATACCGTTGGAGCAGATGAAACAGTGGTCTATTCAGCAGTAATAAGTGGGCATTTTGTCTGGGCTACCAAATGGTGTTAGAATGGTCAACTTCCAGAATCCAAAGGCCTGAGCAAGCTTTATGAGCAATGTTACACTTTTCTGAGGATGATGGGTCTATTGAGGAAAATGCCTCTTTAGTTTTGGTTTATCCATTAGTGATACTGTATAAACACAATGGGATCAACCTGGAGCAACAAAATAACTGTATTGCACTGTTCCTGAGTTATCAGATTATTGTGTCCAACTCAAAACACCAAATGCGATAGGAGAAAGAGTAAAGGTAAGAAGGACATTTCTAACATCTAGTCAGTTACCAGTAACACCAGAGTCAGAGCAGGTCTTCCAGCAGGGACACAATGGACTCCTGTTTAACATATTTATTTTGGTTGTAAAATTAGGAACTGTCATTATATCCCCACATCACCTGCACGAGTACAAAACATATAAATTATGGGAAATTCCAGTGCTATAAAAATGCTATTGAGTAGAATATCAGGAAACCACTTACAAGATACCTGCGTATTCAACTAGCATGTACTGGGATACACACTCAGACTTCTAGAGGATTCGAAGGACAAAGAGGAATAACTGTTCAGGTAGGACTCATGGATGTGACACCTGATGAAGACATTGGGATCCCCAGGTTGACTAATAAGTTTTCTTACATAAAATCTCTAAATATTCATGCACTCGCAGCATTTACTTAGAGGACCACCTGATCCCTAAGTGGGGAAAAGGAAAGAAAAGAATGGCCATCAGTGGCTGAGCATGGATGACCCCTGCAGCACCCCACAGAGGTCAAGGGTACGCCTAGAAGTCAGTTAAGCTGCCTCCTGTCATTACTGGGACATGCCTCTTGGACCTTCAAGCAAATAAGCACACTCTTTACATCGCCTGTGATGTTCTAGGTTCTCCTGTGGGGCGGTGACTGTTCCTCTCCTGGCCTCCTTTTAATCCAGTTCTTTGTAGAAAAGCCTGTGTTCTCTAAAACTAGTCCATTTTCTTTTGTGAGGGGCAAGGGTTCATTTTGAACATTGTCATCAGTAGTCCGAAAATGCCCCAAATCATGAACCATGTTAATATGGAGCTTTTCTGGATTTCAATTACTGCCTCAAAAATGGAGTGAGACTTTTGAAGTTTTTCAACTCCCCCTTCTTCTCACCCCCCCACCAACAATCTTGAAAAAAAAAAGACTGCAGATTTTATTCATGTGGGATCATTCGCACCAAGCTACCATAATGTGCAATTAACACTCTAGAAACTGAAAACAGTATTCAGCAAGACAGCTGCATTATCAAAAATGCCAAAGGAGTTCTGAAGGGAGTAATGTGCATGTTAGAATAGGAAATTAATCAGAAACACACACACACAGTGGTACTTTCTTAAGTATATATGAATATTAAAATTTTAAAAATCTTGTGTCTATACTTATAAAAAAGATTAATCTTAGGACAGAAAACTGATTTTCCTGTTTTAAGATGATTAGTTGTGTGTTTTCCTTCTGAAATGAATGAGGAAGTTGAAATAGAGATCTCTAAAATCCCTGCCAGCTGGAATATTCTTTGATAATAATCACTCTTCAATTATATTTTATAAATTTTGCCATTGAAACAAAATGCCCCTTTTATTTCCCCTTGCCAGTAATAATGATACTTAACACTCATGCAATTTTCAAAGTGCCTTTCAGACACTGCAGACACTAACTTGCAATTGCAGGGGTAAACTGCCTACTTTTGCACAGCACAATAACCATGAGTACATTTATATTATAATCCCTACTAAGCTATGGATCCAACTGACTGACTTAGTAACTGAAACGGAGCAGAATTATCCCAGCAGCACGATGCTGAAATTTTCTTGTCAAACCCTGGAAGTATTTTTTAGACGAAACTGAGGGGCTGTTATTTTATCTCCCATTCATAGTGTCTAGGTTTGAGGGAGCAGAGGTTCGTAATAAAATTTTCAAGAAAAGCAGGAAGACATGGGGGATTTACTTGTTGGAAATACAGAAAAGATCTGAATTTTTTCATAAGTTACTGTAATTCAAACAGAATTTTATGTTTGAAAACTTAGAAAGTGGGGAGGTACCCAGAACAGAACTAAAATCAAATCATGATCCCATACAAAAAATATGTGTATAGAGAAGACCCTTAATTGTGGATCCCACTAATATCATACATTCAGCTCACTTTTGTTAAAGACCGGGGGTGGGGGTGGGGCTCCCGCAGTGCGGGTGCTGGCAGACCGCCCCTGGGAGTGCCAGGAAGAGCAGTACTGACTCTGAGTGCAGGGAAAGGAGGACTCAGATAAGGAAACAGTCCTGACCCAGTGAGGGTCCACCTGGGCTCCTCAGCCAGCCCCGAGGAAGAGTTAACACGCGAACGTTCAGTAAATCCAAAACTCCAGCCATCCCAAGACCCTGAACACTAGTGTAAACAGTCGTTAATGAGAATCTCTTCTCCAGCATATTGCGCTTATTAAGTTGTGATAAAGTTGTTGCATTAGAACACTAAAAAAAAAATCTCATTTGCTTTTTCTAGCCTAGAGAATATGAAAAATGTAGGTTTGATTTTAGGGAGGGGAGCAGTATGTTTATACTTAAAAAATACCTAAATTTTAAGAAAAATAGCATACTAATTTATTTTAAAGGAATGTGAACATTTAGGTTTTTGCTCCAGTGTAGGAAAAACAATCCAAAATGATTGCCTTTTAAGGCCTGGGTGTGGTTTTTAATGGCCGTAGATGTCGTTATCTAAGCAGAAACTACAGCCTAAGCTCTGCTCGCTGTAACTCTGAACCAAATTAACACGGGGCTGTGTGTCTTTAAGATGTTCACGTAGTCGCTAGCTAGTGTTGCAATTAAAGAGAAATTAAGCTGAAGGTGTGCATCAGAGCTCCAACTTAATTTTTTTTCTTTTTTCTTCCTTTCTGTTTCTTTTTCTGTTTTTCTTTTCTTTTCTTTTTCTAAGTTATAGGTGCACAACGAAGGAGAAGCCCCAGTGCACTGGCCATTGAAGTATTTGAAGCACATTTGGGAAGTCACATTTTGCAGGTACCTTTAAAAAAAAAAAGAAGCTTGATTACATTTTACTGAGAAAAGCCGATATGTTTAGCTTTTTATTGGTTATTTGTATTTCAGCTATGTATATGGCTATTGTTATTTCATCTCGGAATTCTGAAATTCTTATGAGTCCATTTTTTTTCTTTTTAGAAAGCCATCCCTTGAGAGAATATTAATGAGGAAGGGAGGGCAAGTATTATTTGTAATAATTGAGATGAATTGCACTATTCGGTCGTTGCTCAATGTATAGTAGCTGGCTGTTCCCAGAGCGACAGTGTGTGCTGCATCTGTAAGTGGTATGTGTGTGTCTCTGGAGCTATATATTGTTTTAGAAAGAGCAAATTTTGTGTGAGTAATGTGACATTTTTTGTGTGTGCTGCCAAATTTCAGTTGTTCTTTGCTTGAGTTTGCATTCGTAAGTGCTTCCAATCTTGTTTGTCTCTCCCCCAAGTCACAAACTTTCTCAGGATGAAATTTTCAAGTATATGTTAAGTGAAAGGAGACAAATAATAAGAATTTAATTTTGCCAGTGAATTTCATGACAGATAACTGTGAGGGCGACTAGGATGGACCTGCAGTTACTCGTGTGAGAGCAGTTTCATGCCAAACTTAGCATCTCACTTACTCAAAATATCCTTCCCAAAGACTTAGCCATCAGCTCAACGCATCCATGAGTGATTGATTGACATTGTTTCTGCTTCCCTAGTACATGTTGCCATAGCCAAAGCTTTCTTTATTATGTAAGATACTTTTTGAACATGGAGTTAAAGTACAGACATGTGTGGGATATTTAGGCAGCTTGTTCAAAAAAAATGTTTATGGTCCTTTTTATTTTCAGTTAGGAAAAATGAAGGTAAACTCCAGATTCTTGTTTATTCAACATTAAAAAATGACTTCTAAGTCATTTTTTTCTAAGTCAAGGTTTAAAAAAATGACTTCTAGATAGCCAAAAGTATTATTGAATTTGGTGTGTGATTCCTGAAAGTATTCGCTGTAGAAAATCGTCATCATCAGATTCTCCATGGTCAAATGCCAGTGGTTCTCCCATGTGGTTCCTTGGCTGGTACCACCAGCCTCACCTGAGACTCTTGTTCAGAGGACACAGTCCTGCCTCTCTCTGAACCTACCAAATCAGCATCTTCAGGGCAAAGTATAGTAATTTGTCATTTTTAACAACTGTTTGAGAAAATTTGATGTTTGGTTAGGTGTGAGAAGTCACAAATTAAGGCCCTAAAAAGACTTCCCTTGTCTGTTTTTGTTTATGCTGATGTTTCCTCATGTCTCCACTAATATTTGTTAAGATACCATGTAACCGATGTTCCTTGGAGACGCTATCCAATCATGCTTATAAAATCTTGAATAACCTTTGCAGTAGATTAGTTTCAGGGATATAGAAAGGATTTTGCTTTCTAGATCTTCAAATTTTTATTTCCTTCTCTCCTGTATGCACTTTGTTTAGAATTTCCTTCATAAGTATTGCGTGAGCCATGCCATGCGATATCTGTATCTACACCTATCTCATCTAGTTCTGTATCTGTAAGTGTAGTTAGATTCTAATGTGATTCAGGATGACTCATTCGTATTCTGAACCAATCAGTGCATTGACTTGGTCAATGAAAGAAATGGTTCAAAGAGTATCCCCAGATTATTTTCCTCTGAGTTCCTTTTAGAAATCTTGAGTCCAAAGTCCTCAAGGGAGGGTGACTTAGGAGCTGCAAGAATTTAAAACTAATTTAAAACAAAACATGAGTTGAACTAAACATAGGCTTAAGGTAAGCGTGTGTTATACAGTGGTTGTCGAAATGCCAGTTCAAGATTGGGCTTCACTGAGAGAGCAGAGCATCTAGAACGAGGCTGCTGAGCTCGTCTGCTATTTCAGGTGGTCACACACCTGGCTTTGACAACCCATTTTAAGAGAAATGTAGACAACCAATATTACTTGAAGCGAAATGACCAGACTGCTGCATAAACTAGAAATCACGTTACATGAGAAGCGGCAAAGGGCTGGGTGAAGTTTAGTTGGGAAAACTAAAAGGGATGTGTCTTAAAAGGGACGCTGATATCCTCCCTTTATATTTGAAGGTCTCATGTAAAAAAAAAATAGATACGTGTATTCTGTGTGGCTTCAGATTGTGGAAAATTGAAAAGAAAAAAAAAAGCTTCCACATAGCACTGTCCATGTTTAGAATATGTTCAAAGCCTTTGAATATAAGGCTTGCTAGGGTTGCCTTCACAAGTGAGAGATCAAAACGTGGTTGTACTAGGTAATCTTGGAATAATCATGGAAACCAGATCTTCTCATCTTTGGATTCTGACACCACTGGCTATGGAGTGGAAGAGCTGCATGTACTCCTTTAAATGAAATACGGGCATTATGGGCAGGAAGGGGTCAGGAAGTAGTAGTAACAAGAAGGCCCTCTAACTAGTAAGTTATCTTTCCTCCTTGCATGGGGCCCGCTGAGCCCATAGACCCATGTCTGTATCTGATCTGCAATATCCCAAAAGGATAATAAGATTTTCACATTTCCCTTCAGGAGGGTCCATGGTTGAATCTGGTGAGTTAAGGGGGTTGGGGTGAATTCTTTCTTTCTTCTGCTATCCTTCCTTCACTTGCAAATATCATAAAAACCTATGTGGTCAACATGGTTTCTAACCTCACAGTTCATTATAGTTATCAAAAAATAAAATAAAATACTGGGTAAGAACACAGAATTCACTGTAATAGGCACACAGTTGCTGTCCTTAACTAGCTTGCAATTGTTGGGGCAGAGAGGCACCAGTAGGATGCAAGTGGGATGCAAGTGAGATGCATCCCACAAAGGGGCAAGGCTCTGGGTTTGCCACAAAGCATCCAAGAAGACTTTTCAAAGTTGTCGATAGATAAATAGAAGTTTATTAGGCAAAGTAAGTTGGAGAATATGTATATGTTTTTTATCCTTACCCAGGACATGCTTGTGGCTTTTAGGGAGAGGGGAAGGGAGGTAGAGAGCACGGGAGAGAAACATCAGTGTGACAGAAAGACTTCGATTGGTCGCCTCTGATATGCGCTCTGACTAGGTATGTGTCCTGACTGGGAACTGAACCCACAACCTTTTGGTTTATAGGAATACACTCCAACCAACTGAGCCATACCCACCAGGGTGAAAATTTAAAAATATTCTAATCAAAGTGTCAAAGAAAAGGCATGGGGCAAGTTATAATAGACCTTGTTTGGGGACTGTTAAGATGTTCAGTTTGATGGCTGCTCTCCATGCACAGGAGAGCACATAAGGCAAAGAGATGGAGAAACCACACAAGCCATATTGTGGCAGCCCCAGCGAACCAAGCCAGGATGCTGTAACCAGTGAGGAGCCCATGGAGAAGGTTTTTGTTCAAGAAATAAGCATTTGATTTGTTTCCAGAGTTATTACCCAAATGTAGTATCTAGCAAGTCTTTGAGTTGTTGGAGGCTAACCTAGAGACCATTTAGGAAATTATCATATTCCCAGACTCTCTATGGTAGAGAATATCTTCCCTATCATAGAGTCTCTATGAATGGAGAGAGAGGTGTGGAATTGAGATTGAATTATTAGAAATGAAAGTCTAGAGGGTCACAGGAGTTAATAATGACCACAGGTTTTCTAGATTAGTAAACCAGCTGTCTATACCTGAGAAGCAGGTAAATGGGATATTCTCTTAAGTAGCAAAGTTGGTAAGAGGTAAGCAATGGGAACCCTGAATCTGTTTCTCTAGAACAAGATCAAGTCTAGGGCTGAAAATAGGACCAGGGTTACTAATCACTAGCATATGGACGACTGAGAGTTCCAATCTAGCAATGAGTTGCAGACCCCTGGAAACGATGTGGAGCGGTGAGAGAAGAGGGTTGGGGAGGTGCAACCCCCATGTATATCATCACTTAAGATGCAAGTAAAATGTGAGGAGAGTAGAAAGAAGGTAAGGGGAAAACTCAGGATTTGACTTTGCTTAAGGGAGGAGCATTAATAATATCAAGGTGGCAAAGAGTAAATCCTTCAGTAGGATAAATACTGAAGAGACGCAGTAGGTTTTGTCCATTGGCACAGTCGTAGTGAGGTTTTGGGTGCAGAAGACAAACGTAAGGAATGATACAAGGTAAAAGTGTTTGGATATTTGTGATAAAGGGAGGGTGAGAGATAAGAAGTTAGTGTGATGGGAAGTTCTCGTTTTTCATGTTGTTTTAGTATATGTCCAAGGTTCATGGGCTCAAACATCGTTAATTATATACTCTTTAGCGTCAGCTTTTTAAAAATCACTATCTTGTGGTCATGTCTACATTAAGAAAGGATGAGCTTTCCCATTGTTAATAGTTATATATACCACTCCACTCCACAGACATGTCATAATTTATTAAACCAGTTTCCCGCCATTAAATATTTTCTTTACATGTATAAATTTGTATTTCTTTCTTCATGTATGTGTGTTCAAATTATTTTTAACTTGAATTTATTCAGGTGATATTGGTTAATAAAAGTACAGAGGTTTCAACTGTAAATTTGCATTTCTAATGCAAATACCTAGTGAGGGGTAGGCATGTGTGTCCGTGTTTGTGGGTAGGTTTGTTTCAATTAGAAAGACCCTAATTTGGGTTGATTTTAGTTTATATTTATTGAATTTTTAGTCTGTATGATGTTCCATGTATTAAGTTCTCTCCTTGTATTAAGAATGTTCACTTATTGTGAGTATTACTAAATACCTATTAGTCAGGTGTTATGATTATGTACCTCTTAAAACTGAGTAAACTGAGACAGAAAATCTAATAACCAACTCAAGCTCACAGGGCTAGGTAAGTGAGAATTTGAATGTGGGATACTTACCATTAGATTATAATAACCTCCCACAAATGATGGGGACATTCTTAAAGACAATGATAATAAAAAGAAGAGAATTTATATGTGGAGTGAACAGAATAGGTAAAGTAGGGGTCAGTTCTGAATACCATGGTGGGGCTCGGGAAATGCCTATGACTTCCTGTG